AAAAAAAAAAAAAAAAAACCAGAAAAAAGAAAGAAAGGAAAAAAGTTTATTTATCTTCTATTCATGGTGTTTATTTAAAGCTTTTCATTTTAAAGGCTGTAATTGGAAGGCCAGTCAGAAGTTTAAAAGCTACCACAAATAAACTTTGACTGAGGGGGCGACAGATTAGCAAGATAGTGTCTTTTTCATCTTACCAGATCTTGACAGAGCACAAATCCACATCTGTCTGTTGTATAAATCAACAAAATTAGAAATCCTGCTTCTGGGTTAGTTATTTCAATGACTGATTATTTTATTATTTCTTTAGGGTGTGAATTTGATTACGTTGCCCACCAATAAACGCGCACACGTGCAYGTGCACACATATAAACCAACCCCAAATAGTTGTGATACCAAACAAGTGTATGACTATGGTGTGCAGCTATGATCTGAAGTTTGTTTTTAAAGTCATCTGAACGGTTGAGTAAGCTTATTGTTAAAACAAAGCTGGAAACTGTTTCTTCAGGAGAAGGGCAGAGTAGTTGGGTGAGACTTGTAAACAGAGTCAGCTTTCTCTACAAACTGCTGAGTTTACAATTGGGTAAAGACGATCTTAAATACTTCTTTAGTAGATGACCAGAAACATATTTTCAGTTTGTCAACAGTTAGCACCCACAACAACTATTTAACTAGTTGTTTATGAAAAATTAAGTTCCAGCTAAAAACCTTTCTTCATTTAGGAGTAAAGGCATTAGCACTAGAAAAGGRCTGATAGTTAATTGCTACAATAAACTCAAGACTTAATTTTACAATCTCCTGTCGCAAGCATCTGCCTGGAATAAATCAACACCGATCACCACTAGGCAGGGAGGACTCATCTGTAGTTTCCTTCTCCAGAAAACATGGATTGTTTTAATTTAAATAATTGTGCAATAAATACAGCTGAACTGATTTTGTCATGTTGGCTCCTCTCCATAAGGAGATAACTCTCTGGATTTTGTTGTATATTCAGAGTAAGCACATTTTCCAGCAGGAGTGGCTGCCTGTGTTGCTACGTGTCCCAGCCAACGAAGCCTGTGCAGATGTTGATGTCCATCAAATCCATATTTCTTTTGCTTGATTTTCRGACCAATGGGAATTCTTGAAATGTCAAGTGATGTAGCAAGGACAGATTTAAGCAAGGGAGAGACTTTGCCTTTCCTGGCAGAGGGAGATTTTTCACAAGAAAGGAAGTTCTCTAGTTTGTCTCACTCTTTGGCAGCGCTCTCTGCTGAAGTCCTGTCCAGCCTATCTCTTCCAGGGGGAGAAGGAACTCTGCATCATCTCATGTAAAATAATCCAGTAGGTTCTGATCCCTTTTCATTCCCAGTTACCAGGTTTGAATTCTTGGTGACAGTTTATTTGTCTTTGGAGGCACTTCAGTGACAAATGTTTAAGGGAGTGTGGGACAATGGTGGAGAACAAGGAGGCAGTTCATTGAACTGACAGTGACCATACAGTAAATAGGGGGAGATTCAAGCTTCACTGATCACCCAAGCGCACAGCAAATCTTTTGTATGCAATCACAATGGACATARCATAAGGTCTCTGTTTATTTTCAACAATATACACCAATGTATACAGACAGGCATACATAACTTTAAAGTTGTTATGAAATGAGGCCTTACAATGACCATAAGCAAAGCTCTGGTTTGGCCAAGACTTTTCACGGTCACATTGGAAAGCACGATGGATTTTACTTGGAATCTTCACTCCTCCTAAAAGCTGTTGGTGTACCAGAGATCTCACCTCAGATGTGCCTGTATAGTGCATATCTTAAAGGGGGCTGCAAAGGTGGCTGCAGGCAGCTTTGCAGGTGCAGAGCGAGACACTCCATCTCAATGTGATGCAAAACTAGGACTTGACTTTCCGTTTGTTTTTCAGTACGCTGGATTTCAAATGGTGCTCCAAGGGAGTCAAAGTGTACATATAAAAAGTAGTAGGACAAAAAATCATCACCATTTGAGTAATGGAAAGTGCTTCTTGAGTTACACAGTCTTCAAATGTCACTTAACAAAATTTAGACCTTCAATCGATTTTGTTCCTGTCCCCAGTAATAACATCACACACTGCCACACTGACTGTGGTAACACATCCATTGCAAGTCCTAGGAAAAGTAGGTAGTTATGCAACAGAAAACATTTTCGAATGGAAGAAGCAGTGATTTCATGTCTTTGATACAGATTTGTAAGCAGTAAAGTCGAAAGTTACTGTATTTTACTTGAAGCATTGGCTGTGGCAGACAGTTGAAAAGGCTCACATTGACTGAATGACATAAGTAATGTGCTATTAGCATAAATACTTTCTAAGACATCCATTTAATCAATTTCTTAAATAACAGAATGATCTACTACAAAATAGTGGACTGTATACACTATATTTTGGCACAAAGATGGTCATTCTCCCACTAGTAACCAGGGGCTCTAAATAAATGATTTCAACAATGTTTTATTAAAGGAGGACAAGAGCCCTCGAGCTGCATTAATCGGGGAGAAGTCGAGTGGCACTTTTGTTATGGAAATGTTAAACACATAATAGTTCAGGCAAACAATGTGGAGCCACTTCATTCTCTCAGCCATGCTGACACCTCTTAAAGAGGAACTGCAGGGAAGGATGTGGGAAAGATTTGCTTTCTGAGGAAGCTTTCAGCTAATATTTTGGATATTTACCTTCAAAATTCAACCAGCGCAAATGTAACTGAAGGGCATAAAAATAAAACAATAAAGAGGRCTGATTTATGCAGCTACTGCTAGTGATGAGAGTTTGGTGCTCAAAATCAAAATAATAACTGACAAAGCCCTCCTTTTCTTTAAAGTTTCTTTTTTTATGAATTTATTATGAGCCAAGTCGATATTACAGTAGAARGTGAATGTGCACAAAGATTTTTGTTAGCACACAGAGATAGTAGTGCTAATACTGTACCTTGGACATACATCAGGGATGGGAAGGAGGAACACCCTTGAGTAAGGAAATAGACTAAGGTTTAATAGGATGGTTGTGAGGTGAAGTGTGATGTGTACGCAGCCTAGAAATACATAAATAAAGTGATACAGTCTGATACATGTCTGTGTAAAAAAATACTCTATTTCAGATGTGGTCTTTTGAATGGGTGAGAGGAAGAAAGGCTAGGGAAGAGGAGATTACTTTTATGTAGAGACAGCTTGGAGAATTAATAGTGTACTTGCTAATAAGGGGAAAGAAGCTCCAAAAAAAATCAAGAAGTTAGCTGAAACACAGATTGAAAATAGTGGGAGAATGCAAAAAGAAAGCTGACAGTCTTCAGTAATGTTGGCAGAACCAGAAAGTAAGAGTAATGTGGAAATAAGATGAATATTCAGCTCTGGAAAGGATTTTTTTCCCCTTCATCTTCGGAAGATGGAGATGAAAGCTGTCCTCCCCGTGTTCTTGGTGTTAATGACAGTGCTCCTCAAACACTGTGTCCAGGTTTCAGACCACTCCTCTCAAGTTCAAGGAAGGATGTTGAGGAACTTGAGATGTTGGTGGAAGGCTGCCAGAATGGTTAGAGTTTGTGACCAACAAGGAAAAGACAAGGCAGCTAAACTTCAGTCCAGCTGAAAAGAGAATCTAATGGCAGCCTGTAGGCATGGGAAGAGGGCTTTTGTAAGGGCTATGGGGCCAGAATCTTCTCAGTAATGTAAGAAGAAGGTATGTCAAGGTGCAGCAGGCACAAACTGCGGCCAGTGAGTTCAGACTGGAAATTAGGGAGGTACTTTGCTGGGAGGTGAAGGAGATAGTGAAGCCCTGGGATAGGTTTCCAAAAGAAGCCCTGTCACCTCCATTGTTTGAGGTTTTCAAGACTTGGCTAGCAARTCTAGCTGATGTCATCTACTGTTGGCAGGAATATGTCCTCTAGAAAACGTTGGAAGTAGATGATATCTGGAGGTCATGTTAAATAAATTTCCATCATACTGTGATTTTAATGTTGACCTTGATTGGAAATCCAAGAGGTTCCTATGAGAATGAGATGAGGCTCAAGTATACGTATGCCATATTTCAATGGAGATGGTAATGCTTAGGTATTGAGGAGAGAGGTTACTGTCACACATGCCCACAAGGCCAGAGAGGGTGAAAACAGCTGAAAAGGGGTCAAAGGAACATTTAGGAGGAGAGTGGGCACTMAAACACAGAATTAAGTCCAGGACTTTGAGACAAAAGGAAGAGAGGATATATCCATATCCCACATTCACACWWGGSAAATAGTGAAATATAAGGGAATATRGTGAGGAAAAGRAAAGTGTCCATYTAAGAGTTACACTTATGAATTGGAAAATGGACAGTTTGATTGGAAAGGGGAAGATAAGACTAGGAAAAAAAATGGACAAAACTGGAAGTGCAGAAGGGATGTTTCTTTCCTTTGCAAGAGAGAAATACTTGTTTATAAACATTGTTCTTGGCACTCACCACCCGAGTATCTTGCTGCCTTGAAACAATAGAAATAAAATACAACGGAATCTTCTCTCTTACGTCTATATGCAAATATAGACAATGCAGACCCAGTTTGCATTTTTAACATAGTATTTTTAACTGTCTGTGAGATGATGGTGGTCTGGGTAGTTACAAAACACAGTAGTTACTGTGGTCTGGGTAGTTACAAAATCCTCATGTAAATAAACATAGCTTGCTGGATATTCTTTAGTAATGCAAAATTAAGGCACATGTGTAAATAATGTCTTGTACTAAAACAATGCAATCACCTACTATATAGTGTATATGAGAGTGTATATTTGGCTTGAACTAGTTTTAATTGTTTAAAAAATAAAGGAAGTTAGGTGGTTTAGGCAGAATAAATACAGGCACTACAAGTTTCTGGTCATCCACTGGCGATGCCACTTAAATCTTCTAATTCAAACAGTGATAATAGCTGAAGAAGTGCTATTGTTGGCATAATCTTTGT